CAGTGGCAGAGTGGTCTAGTATCACAAATGAGAATGGCATCTACCTAAGTATGCAATACAAATTTGTAATAATTAGTAATAAATTTATTATAGCTAATATTTTAAATGGAATTGATAAGGTCAAAGAAGAACACCAGCTCCAAATCTATATACGCCTTTTGCTGGAGTTACATAGAAGGTACATCTTTTTACTCAAAGATGTGGCTTCCTATTGGAAGACTCTGAAGAAAACTGTGATTACACAATGTGGGAAATATTTTGGATTTGCAGAAGTGTGGCTATATTTTGTTCATGATTTTAATAATGGCTACTCTCATTCATAAACTTCAAATAAATCACCCCAATAAAAGTTGATACTATCACCAAGGTGGCAAGTTACCATTTAAATAAAGAGGAAATGCAGACACATGCTGGTGAACAAGTGTTCGTCACCATCAATGTCTTCCCAGTTAAAAGTGTACAAACCCCTACAAGTCACTTTATCTTTCTGGGTCTTAGTTTCTCATGTGCCAAAACCAGAACAAAGTTAGATGATGGGTAAGATTTCTTCTAGTTCTTAGACTACATGATATTACAGAACAGACTCCCTGCCTAGTTTGAGATGATACATACATATATATACACATATACATACACACACACAAGCTTACTTTAAACAAGTGCCAGTGACATGAAATTTAAATACTATTTTAGTAGTTGAAGCTACAAATTAATATCTGAGTTCCACAGACTCTTGATCATTCTGTCCATTACTTCTGAAACATAAATGTGAAACGTGCTGAGGGATGAAGACCAGCTCCATTTAAGGGATATTCATGGCCGGGTGAGGTGGCTCACGCCTGTAATCCCAACACTTTGGGAGGCTGAGACAGGTGGATCACCTGATGTCAGGAGTTCAAGACTGGCCTGGACAACATGGTGAAACCCTGTCTCTACTAAAAATACGAATATTAGCTGGGCTTGGTTGTGGGTGCCTGTAATCCCAGCTACTTGGGAGGCTGAGGCAAGAGAATCGCTTGAACCCTGGTGGCGGGGGTTGCAGTGAGCTGAGATCACACCATTGCACTCCAACCTGGGCGACAGGAGTGAAACTCCGTCTCCAAAAAAAAAAAAAAAAAAAGATATTCCTATTCACGTTTCAATGCTGGCTGAGGCCCTATAGCTAAGACTCAGAATCCTGGATTTTGAAATCCAGTAATGTACCCAGCACTTCCTCTTGTTCAGTCATTATAAAAAGACCTATTTGGCAAGTATCCTGCTGGTCTTCTCATATGGGAACCATTCCATGATCCAGCTGAAGGAGGTGGCCTTCAATGCTGAAACTCCTCAGCTGCTTACCACCTCGAAAACCACTTTCATTTTCAAGAGGAAAGAAAACAAATCTCTGACTCTCAAAAGAGACCAAGGGATCCATCTTGATGTTGGAAATCTGGCCACAGGCATGGAGGAAAGATCATAGGAGGCAGGTTTGGAGTTTTCTGGCATCAATTCGGCTTGCTATTTAAAACTTAAAACCTCAGCTCTAAGGCAGGACACAAAGCTCACTGAAAACTCTAAGCTGCATATTACCACAAAGCCCAGTAGACCCAATTTTTTGCCTCCACTTACAGAGAAAAGCAAGCACTACAGAAGTGTATGGATTCCATGGGGCAATGGCAACCACCCTGTTCAGAAAATTTAAAGAGTTTAAATGAAGTGTTATTTTCCCCCTCAGACAGAGAAACAAAATATACGTATCAAGTACTAATTACTAACTGCCTTAGTTAAAATCTTTTGTTGAACAGGCAAAATATTAGAAGAAATAAGAATACATGACCAAATGCTTTGATGTTTTAAAAACAAATATTCATTCACCAAAACAGAAGTGAACAGTTCTATGAGAAAACATGTTTTCAAGCATCTGGAGAGAAATAAAAAGAGTAATAGCCATCTAAGAAGCAATAAAGAACAAAAGTAAGTTTAATACGATCCTGCATAAGAAAGCATTCAGTGGAGTTTCTGGTTAGTCAGGGAAGCCTTCTTGAAAGAGGCAAACTGAAGCTGGCTTTGGAATACAGAGATTTTCCTTTTGCCATTCAGGTGGAAACAAGTCTTCCGTTTCTACAGAGGGCACTGAAAAAGCCAGCGTGGCTACGAAGCAGGCTCACCTCCATCTCGTGTGAATCTAATTGCATGGGAATACATTCTATGTAAATCAGCTGACGTTTTTTTGCCCGGATTGGTCTGGAACTTACTATTTGTATTAATCCATTCTCACACTGCTATAAAGATACTACCGACATGGCAGCAGGAGACAGAGGGTGGGGCGGGAGCGGCACCAGACACTTATGGAACAACCAAACCTCGTGAGAACTCATTCACTATCAGGAGAACAGAAAGGGAAATCCACCCCCACGATTTAATCACCTCCCACCAGGTCCCCCCTGGACATGTAGGTACAATTTGACATGAGATTTGGGTGGGGTCACGGAGCCAATTTATTAGAAAAATTCAAATTGTTCCATGCAATATAGTCTCTTAAAATTTTCCTTTAATACCTCTTTGGATATTTTTATCAAGACAACACAATTACAGTGACCTTGAGAGATGAAACATTTTGATCATGATTTTTATCCATAATTGAAGTCAGTGGGAAAATCTGATTTGATTAACAGAAAGCTGAATTCAGACATTTTCCATTTTTCCCCTGTAATTTGCAGCTAATTTCAAAATCATTATATTACTTGAGAAATGAACTGATGATGAACCCTGCGATGTAATTTAACAAGGAAAGGTAGCCGGGCGCGGTGGCTCACGCCTGTAATCCCAGCACTCCGGGAGGCTGAGGTGGGCGGATCACCTGATGTCAGGAGTTCAAGACCAACCTGGCCAACTTGGTGAAACCCTGTCTCTACTGAAAATACAAAATTAGCCGGGCATAGTGGTGCATGCCTGTAATCCTAGCTACTTGAGAGGTTGAGGCAGGAGAACTGCTTGAAGCCCAGAGGCAGAGGTTGCAGTGAGCCGAGATCACACCATTGCACTCCCGCCTAGGTGACAAGAGTAAGACTCCATCTCAAAAAAAAAAAAAGAAAAAAGGCAGGTTGATGGTATCATTCAACATTACACACTTTTCAAAACACTGCCTCAAACCTGCTTAGATGTGAATTTCACAGCATCCTGGTGGGTCAGGGAGATTCAGATATTGTTAATCCTTTTTTTTTTCCGAGACAGAGTTTTGCTATTGTTGCCCAGGCTGGGGTGTAATGCAGCGATCTCAGCTCACTGCAACCTCCGCCTCCTGGGTTGAAGCGATTCTCCTGCCTCAGCCTCCTGAGTAGCTGGGATTACAGGCACCCACCACCACACCCGGCTAATATTTGTGTTTTTAGTAAAGACGGGGTTTCCCCAAGTTGGCTAGGCTGGTGTCGAACTCCTGACCTCAGCTGATCCACCCACCTCAGCCTCCCAAAGTGCTAGGATTACAGGCATCAGCCACCATACCCGGCCTGTTAATCCTTTTTTATAGAGAAGGGAAAATACGACAAGGAAGACAACCAGCCCAAGCTAACATAGCAAGTCAACAGCAGAACTTTTTCCTCGACACCATTTCTGCTACTATTAAAAGTAAGAAAAACTAACCAACCAAACAAAAACCCACTAAAACAGGGAAATGGTAGCCGTGGTAGTAACAGTAGCAAAAATAAGAGCAGTTATCCTATGTTGAGCACTGACAGTGAGCCAGGCACTATGCTGAGCCTCATACATGGATTACCTCATTGAATAATTACTTAGAGGAACATTATGAGCAGACATCATCTCATGCTATGATGCAGGGATCCAGACACAGAGAGTGAAAGGACCTAGTACCGTTGCCTCAGATCTCACAGTCAGTGTGTGGCAGAGGTGTGATTCATCCTCATGGTTGTCTCTGACTGCTTGACAGTCTTGAACTCATTCTCTTACAGAAGGCTGGTGCCTCTCAGTTTTCAAGTCCTTGAGTCACTACTCAGAAGTCACCATCACCATGAGGCCTACCCTGAACACCCCATTTAAAACTGCAGACTCCAACCCCACCCTACTAAAATCGATTCTCCTTCCCCTGCACAACTATGGGATTGACAGGGTTTATGTTTAGTGTTTGTTAATATAAGCTCCACAGAGCAAGGATTTCTTCTTCTTCTTTCTTTTCTTTTCTTTTCTTTTCTCTTCCTTCCTTCCTCCCTCCCTCCCTCCCTCCCCTCCTCCCCCCCCTCCTCCTCCTCCTCCTCCTCCTCCCTCCTCCTTCTCCTTCTTCTTCTTCTTCTTCTTCTTATTGCCCTCAACACATCCCAGTGCTTAAGACAGTGCTGTCCAACAGAGCTTTTTATACAATGGAAATGTTTTACATCTGTGCTATCCAATACAGCAGCCACTAGGCATTAAGAACAAAATTGGACAGTGGCTAGTGCAATTAAAGAACTAAATTATTTTATTTACTTTCATTATTTAATAGCCACATGTTACCATACAGGACAGTGCAGGCCTAGAACAAATGCCTAGCACAGTAAACCCCTAGGAAATATTTGCAAAATGAATGAAATTATAAATAAAACCTATTTCCCATACAACCTGTAGACTACTTTCACTAACTACAAATTAAATTTTATTTTTATTTCATAATAAAAATTATGGCTTTTTATTATGGCTGAAATGTCCATAATGGCTGAAAAAGTCCAGATTAAAGTTTGAAAATTCAGAAGATATGGCCAAAATAGCAAGCACTGATTTCATGAACTATTGGCTTCCTTTGCCATCTGCCATGCAAAACCTTCTGAAACATTTCCTGAAAACAGGGAAAGCACCAACAGCATGTAATGAACTCCCATGAATCTCACACACACACACACAGAAAATATGTACTAAATTCCCATGATACACACACACATATGTACAGGTGTGTGTGTGTATATATGATACAGATATATACACCACTTCCCTATATAATACATAATTACAGCTTTGGCATAATCACTCAGTACCTTTTTGACCTTGTTTTTTTTCTCAAAAGTCTCTGACAGAGGTTTTTTCTTTTGTTGAGTTGTATCTTTGGAGAATAAATACTCAAATTCACCAGGGTCCCGAATGTCAGGTTCTTCTAAGGAGTCCCATAAGGTTGGTGTAGCATTTTGGCTTAAAAGAGAAAATGACAAGTTAACCATAAGAACCAAAACAGGACAGAATATAATACAATGAGATCTTTCTCTAATCCATTTTTAAATTTCATTTTTCTAAAAAAACACACAAAACTCTAATAATGCTTAAAGTTTTTTATGTTATGCATTTGTTAAAGTCAAAATATACTATAGAACATTAAAACATACACAGACATATTTCCAAAAAAATAAATGTCATTAGGTACAATCAAAGATAGAGCTCTAGAGAAACTCCTTAGGACTAGAAATCCTGGGATTCGGATTCCTGGGGGCACCCAAGCTGCTCTTCCTCCAGTCTGTGGCATTTCCATGATGTGTACAAATGGGCATCGTATAAAGGCTGAAAAGATAACCAATTTGAGACGCTGACAGGCTAACTCTGAAGTAGACTGAAAATGGAGTACCAAAGTAAAGATCTGCCTCCTCTTTGGACTTTTTCAACTACTTTTAAATATAGTTTTTAGGATTCATGCAGGTAAACTCTGCAGGGTCCTTAATACGTAAACAGGCTGTGCCTATTTTAAAATACATGATTCCTTGTATCTTAGTCCCCTACACAATACTAACAACAAAAACCAACCAAAAACCTCCTCCATTGCACCTCATGGGATTTCAACTAAAGCAGCCATCGGGAAACTGTGCTGTTTCGTCTTCAGAAACAGGGGCACCCTAGTTTTGAAGGGAAGAAACAAAAGCTGTTGAGAATCAGGGGTAACAGAACAGCGTCTGTGAGCTGACTCCAGTGGTCACTCCTCGGGGCCCTTGAGTCAGAACACATCTCCCGACTGTTTACTTTCTTATCTGAATTTCAAACACTATTAATGCCCACTGGTCAGGTGTGGTAGCTCACACCTGTAATCCAAGCACTTTGGGAGGCTGAGGTGGGCAGATCACTTGGGGTCAGGAGTTCACGATCAGCCTGGTCAACATGGTGAAACCACATCTCTATTAAAATTACAAAAATTAGCTGGGCGTGCTGGTGGGCGCCTGTAATCCCAGCTACTTGGAAGGCTGAGGCAGGAGAATTGCTTGAACCCAGGAGATGGAGGTTGTGATGACCTGAGATCGTGCCACTGCACTCCAGCCTGGGTAACAGAACGAGAGTCCATCTCAAAATAATAATAATAATAATAAACACTCTCAATGCCCACAAATTTCACCTATATACTTATTGTTTATCAAACATATGTATATGTTACAATCCATAACATCTAAAAGGTTTGTTTCCATACATATTTTCTCAGTGAAAACTAAAAAGATAACTATTATTATATGGAATGGTCCACAGAATTTTTTGATACTACAGGTGATTTGATATTTAAAACAGTTGGCAGCCCTGGCTCCTCAGGTCTGCATGTTCACATTTTGCAATAGATCTGCCTTTCCCATGATATATGACATTTTGGTGTTGGCCACATACACTTCTTCTCTCCTCTACTTTTTATTTTTCAAATTATGATTTTGCCAATCGTTGAACCATGTAATAGTATGACATATGGAAGTTATAAAGTATAACAATAGAATGAACACCTGGGAAACCATTACCCAACCCAAGGGCTAGAACATTTCCAGTGAAGCACATCAACGTATGTGTTCCTCCCTCAGCCATACCCCTCTGCTACTCACTTAACTTCAACCTGAAACATAAGCACCATCAATGTTAAGTGCTTATCTCTGTGGTGCTGGGGGAGCAGTGGGAGAAGTGGGATCTTGATTAAGGAAGTCAGTCGGGAATTCTGGAGTGAACACGTGGCATGTTAAGGGCCACTGGTCTGGGCCTCGGGAAGATTCTGGGCAGCTAAGGGTGATGCCTAGAGTGAGGTGATGCAGTGTGTCAGGCCAACTGCTCAGCCCCATCCCCACTTCCTGCACCTGCTTGGCTCTAGCTCCACGGACTCTGAGGTCAGGCCAGTGTAACGAGTAATATAATTCACTTACATTGTGGAGTAAATTGGCTTTGGGAGTCAATGGTGATCAGTTTAAGCACCTGATCACCATTTACAACACTTTCTATGGGAAAGGCATTTCCATTTCCAATACTGAATGAAAGAATTTTGGAACACTGCCTCTCAGTGATTTGGGGACAGCCAGCATTTGGCAGGGCAATAATAAGGACCTGCTTCACAACGAATGACCTGCCATGGTGGTCAGCTGACCCCTGAACATACCATTCTAGCTCAAAAGGCAGGCAGGCAGAGAGAGAGAGAAAGAAAGGAAGACAAGGAGACAAATGAGAAACTTACTAAGAAGATGAAAAGGTAGTTAGATGAGGATTTATTTTGCTTTAAGTGTCTTTTGCTTAGTCTAGAAATCACAAAACAGACACCCAAGAAGGCAAAACGTCAAAAGAAAAAAAAATCAGTTCATACCAGGAGTCAAAAGCAATTTAGGTAGATGAGAAGCAGTGTATACATAATGCTGAAAATTCATTTTGTTTCTGGCTTCCCAGAAGAGCAAGACCAACATTTATGATGCAATCATTATATAAACTACTTACTCCTCTAGTTGCACAAAATATTAAAATACGATTTTGCCTCCTTTATGAGAAGGTATCCCAAATAATTGCACTTTTGCTCCTAAGCAAATACTCCACAGGCTCTTTGAATCATTTTCATTTAGAAGTAGTAGTGCTAATAGGTACAGAAAGTTGGAGAGACCCATAATAAAAGAACTTGAATATGTGGCACCACCGGAAGTGCCCATGTTGCAGTCTTAACACATCAGAGAGGGGCAGCCCCCGTTTCAGGTTCAAATGCGCACCAAGCAGGGCTCTCTTGATGTCCTATTCATCTACTTTTCATTTTGCTCAAAAGTAAAGCCCTAGATATATGATGAAACCAATGAGACCTTCAGTATTCAATTGTTTTTCTTCTCAAAATGACCAACTACATAAGCAGGAAACAACGTAGACAATGATGATCTCCAGCTTTCCCTTGGTCGTGCGTGAAGGGCCCATATCTCCCAGTGGGACTCTTTGGTGGCTGCTGTGGTCTACAGTTATCTGTTGCTCATGACAGTCTCTCGGGGAAGGGAGTGAAGGCAGGCTAGTGGGACACAGGTGTGGAACAGCTCCCCGTGCTGTCAGACACAGTCGTTCAGGGCTTACAGGTGGGAGGCATCGCCCTGGAATGGCTGTGCACCAATTTGAGAACACTAATAAGGAAACATGACTCAAAATAAATATTCTGGGAAATGATTTTTTAGGAAATGTCTGAGTCTTTATTGGGAAGAAGGGAATACTAGTACTTCAGCTAATGGCAGAAGCTATTACAGGATCATCTCACTTTTTTATGAACCATTCATTTGGGAAATTACAAAGTATAATTGAATTTTGAAAACAAGAAGTATCGGGATGTTCCAAAAACAAACTCTCGGCCCTTATTTTTTGTGAGAGGAAAGGGGAAAATATGAAGCACATATGCTCAGTTTTAGGGTATTCCCCACTCCTCCACAGGGATTTCTAGTTGTTTTATCATTGTGAGTTGTGTGTTATTTTGTTTCATATCCTGCCTGCCCTAAGCAAAATGTTATATACATTGAAGAATGCACTACCACATCATGACTTGGGAAAAGTTGTAAAATGTGTCCTATATTTGCTGTCCTTTACAAAGAAACTTTAAAGGAGAAAGTGGTCAAGAGACAACTTAAGATCTCTTTCACTGTCCTCCTTCCAGGCTCAGAAATAAGGCAGAACAAATCACGCTCAAATCTGTTTGAATGGATGTTTCCAAGCAACTATACCTTGCTGCTTTACAAACCCTGCTTAACAATCGATACAAATGGAAGATGCTTTCAGCTATCCACATACTGACACTTTCTCTGAAGGGCATCAAGGTATAAAGGAAGATGGGAGAGTAATTAGCAGTTAGAAGACATAGAGTTTAAGCACAGAGACTTTGTATTTTAAGACTCTTCTCTGATCTAAAGAACTAATAACTTAGCCATGTCTCATTCTTTTAATAAAAACTGAAAAACACCCATTTCTGTTCAATGTCTATATTACAGGGTTGATTATAGCATTTAAAAACAAGACAGTAAAAAGAATTCTAAAAATCCTCATGAGCCTTCAGTATGCAATCAGGTTCAATTCTTTATGATTAGTCATCAATTGTAGCGATGCTGGGGAAAGCCCTGGCTTAGACCCGGACTCTTCTCTAGTCTATAAAATGGACCATGTGCCTTGGAGAAAAACTTAACACTGAACACATTGTTTCTCCCAGCATCTTCAAAGAATACAGAGAGGCCCCGCTGGAGACAGACATTCTCCCCAAACATCCCAACCTTGTTTATCCAAGCATTCACTCTATCACACTTGATAATGGGTGCTACACTATGGAGACATTGACCCGGTAAGAATAAAATATCACTTGGGCCAAATCCTAGGAATTCACACGCTGAGAATGGGATAGGAGAGAACTTACCTCCTATCACTTATTTGTATCCTAGTCCAGTATAGAGGTTTCATGGGACAACTGGGTTCAATGGCTGGTTTTCGAGGACATTGACTGGAAGAAGACCCAAGTCCAAAGAAGAGTCCAGGGGGAGGTGGGGGTGCAAGTCCTGGGGGTGGTGGAGCAGGAGGCGGCCCTCCAGGGTTGGGTGGGGCAGGGGAGTTAGGAAGTGGCGGTGGGGGTGGCGGTGGGGGTGGTGGAGGTCCAGCACTTGAAGATAGAGGTAGAGGTGGTGGTGGAGGAGGCGGCGGAGGTGGTGGCAGTGGCCCAGCACTCACAGGTGGCACTGGAGGTGCTGGAGACAAAGAGCCAAGTCCCAGGGGGAGGGGTGGAGGGGGAGGGGGAGGGATGGATGTTGGCAAGGGCGGTGCGGTAGGCAGAGGCAATGCCTTCTGCTGATTTGATGCCATGCCTTCCATTGGCTGGAGTGCTGCATGGATGTCTTTGTGGTCATTTGGGGGGGAGAGCTGGCTTAAAGAGGAGATATTCAGCTTTTTGGGTACTAATTGATTACTTCTGGTTGTCTTGCTTTCGCCTTCGCAGGGCTTGAGGAAGGTCTCTCTGTCGGTCTGGATGCACACATTTCTGAAGGTCTTTGGAGGGCAGTCATCATTGGTGGAAATGCACACATCTCTCCTCTCTTCACAACCCCCTCGCCATCTGTGTTCTAGCTCGTGTTTCAGATTTTCGATGGTTTCTTCTAGTCTCGCTGTTATCACTGCATGCTCGCCCCGGATATGAAATGCCCGAAGTTCAAACTGGGCCTGTAGGAAAATTCAGTGGGAAAGAAAGTAATGAGTTTATTAAGAACAAATATAAGAATTTAGAAACTCAATAATACCATCACGGTGCCACTGTAGCATGGCCCATATAAATGCAGGGAAATACAGAGACATTCTTTCAAGAATCCATAAAAGTGTACATTTCACTCTGAATTTTCCAGGGACCTAAACAGGCAGGAGTCAAAGCACAATTTCATCTAGCCTGAGCTCACGGGAGATAATTTTCATGGATTAAGGTTTAAAGTACATCTGTTACTTAAGAACTCTTACCCAGTTTTCATATCAAACACATAACTTTTAATAAAGCTTTGGACATGCTTGAATCTCTGTTTTATAACTTTGGGGTTTGGTTTCATAAAAGAAAACTGTAAAGAAAAAAATAGGTTTCGAGCTCCTCTGGCTTAGAGCTGTTGTTCTCCCAGTCTCCTTAGAATGTCTCTCTCACTGAGTTTCCAAGACAATACAGCAGACACAAAAAGCAAGAGAAGCAGCCATGATAACTTACTTTTTTAAAGTTTCCCTATAAAAGCCCCAAGATTAGTATTTCTGTTTCATAATATAGCAATAAGTAAGCAATATAAAACATAATATATGACAGTATATTACAGTATGCCATTTTCTTCTACTTACACAGCACTTTAAACTATGTAAGACAGTAGCCTTTTTAATGCTTATTGCCTCACTTATTTTAATGCACTGAGTCTGTAATTGTACACTTATTAGCACAGAGCTAGAGTACTCGTAGTCATTAACTAACCCGTTCCTGAGCATTCAAAGCTATTCATCCTATGACAGTTAACTGGAAAGCAATCAAATTTAGAATTTGATTAGAGTTTTCAAAATCCAGTTTAACAGTAATTAAATATTTTTGGTCAACTTAATTTCTGCCTCCCCCATGAGATTATAAACTCCACAAGACAAAAATGGTGACAGTATTGTCTTTATATGTGTATCCCAGCAGGTAGCACAGCAAGTACATAGCTTAAAAGAGATGGATGGATAAAAATCATGGGGATAGTTATATTCACTGTCACTGTCCCAAGAGCCTCCCTTATCAAGACTCTCTTCACTTCTCAGCACAAATATCTAGAACACCTAAGCACACACAAGTACAGCTCCTTTTTGCATTAAAAAAGTAAAGAAATATTTTTAACAGTCTTGGAAGGAAAGGTATAAACATGGGAAGTTCGTCTACCTTCATTGAGATAACTTTTATACTATGATGTTTGCATAGTTCAGCAGATTGAATTAGGAAGAGATCTACCACTTATCTGGTATTAAAAAAAAAAACCTAACTTTTAACTATTTTTTACTAGGTTCAACTTTTCCTTAATATTCATTCTCAAGAAAAAAATCCTAGAGAACTATCGTCAGGAGAACTGAAAGACAAAGTTTTTTGAAGGCTAATCTTCTCATACGTGGACATGGTAGCTCTGAGCCAACTCTGAGGGAAGTGGCTAGCTCAGGACACTGTCTATTTCTTGTGCAGTGCAGAGCGTTGAGTGCCTGAATTTGGAGTCACACCACCTGGTTCACATTGTGGTTTAGGCACTTGCAAGTTCTATGACCTTAGACAGGGAACACTGTGTCCCTAAGCCTGAGTTTCTTCAAGTGTAAAGTAGGAATAATAGTGAGCCATCTCTAAGACTTTTATAAAAGTAAAATGAGATACTTCATATAAAACAGTAGGCATTATGCCTGGAACATAGAAATATTTGGATAAATCTTACGGTTAGTTTCTGTTGCTAATGCTAATAGCAAAGCAAGAGACTAACAAATTCCTAATTATTTTTAAAAATTTTCGAACAATGCTACCTTTGTAGAGGGATAGGCATAAAAGTAGGAAAAGCTCAAGCAATCAGAATAAGCAATGTACTGCAAATATGAAAGTTTACCTAGCCTTTTGTGAGTTCTACTACCAATTCCCTAAAAGTAATTTCGAGCTTCACTCAACTGTGAGATCAAGATAATCTTTGTTTCAACATTGTATCATTTCCATCTTCATTTCTCTCTCTTTCCTGTCCACTTCCACCCACATCTTAGCCCTGATTACTACCCTGAATTACTCACCCACATTTTAATTTCACTCTAATGACTAGTTCGCAGTTCTGTCACAACAAACTAACTCTCAGTAGTTACTCTCAACTAAACCTTCTTTCAAGATTAAGAATCAAATATTCAAGAAGCAATAATTTTACTCAATCCTCAACTTCTTAATGATATGAAAGAATTGCAAAGACATATTGAATGGTGAAACTTTCCCTAATAAGGGAAATATTTTTTGGTGAAATTACTGAGTTTCTGCCTCCCCTATCGGATTATAAACTCTAGATGAAATCTTGTATCTACAGCAAAAGCCCTGGCCCCCACCTCCTCCTCTTTCTACCACTAATGATCTTCTAAATCTGTTGAAGCTGATATGTAAAGCTAATATATCATTTTAGCAGCTTGGAGGTAATGCATTTCTTTAGTGTAGTGGGCAGAATACAAATTGGGCAGTAAAGTTCACCTCTCTGTACCTCAGTTTTTTTGTAAGCAAAACGGGGATAATAAAATGTACTTGGGAGCAGAGCAGATATGCCAGGGAGCCAAATTAAGATATGTAAAACAAAATACAGAAGAGTGTTTGAAGAGTGTTTACTATTTCAGTTTGCTGTCATTATTATTGTCTCTCTAACACCTGACAGATCAGAGCCCAGTGGCCCCATTAGCTTGCTCTTGGTTCTGGGTATGCTTCCCAGCCCCACGCCCCCTACTGTCTACAAGCTCTATGCTTCTAAAGCAAAAAAAAGACAAACCAAAATCCTTCTTAAATTCCTTTAGCTATTGCACTTTCTAACCCTACCTCTTTTCCTTCGCAGCACAGCTTTTTTGAAAAAAAAAAAAAACAAAAAAAAACCACTCAACCCATGCTTTATTTTCCTCATTCATTCACTTTTCACCCAGTTACTGGCTTCCATCCCCACTATCCTACTGAAACTCCATGATTTGACTGTTGCATTCAATCAGCACTTTTCAGTGATTTTTGACCTCTCTGCCACATTTGTTAGAGTTGACTGTTCCAGAAGCACTGAAATTCTGCTTCCCTGAACTCGATTCCACCTCTCTCCTTTTGTTTACCTCCTACTTCTCTGCTGCCCCTAGTCAATCTGTAGACTCATTCATCCCTTAAGTGTGGTTTTCTTGGCATATTCCTTGCATTTTTTTCCTTCTCACACTATACAATCTTTCTAGATGATCTCATATACTCATAAGATTAATGACACTAGGTGAGTACCTTCTAACTTGGTACCTTGAGATCGTATTTCCAACTATCCTCTGGATTAATCTACTTAAATATTTAACTAGCTGCCTCAGATCCAACAGGTTGGAAAGTGAACTCATTGTTGCCGAATCCCAATGTGTTCCTCCTCTGAAATTCCTCCTCACCATTAATGGCCTCATCACCTCCAGTCAGCACATCCAGAAACCTGATGTCATGCTGAATTTCTTGCTCTCTCTCATCCTCAACATGCTATTGATCAAGTGTTACCGATTTCTCTTGTCACCCCCACCACCTCAGTCTTTCACTGGACAAAGGCAATGAGCATTTTCTTGACTCAAATTCAGCCACTTTAGTTCCAAGAAGATTTTGAAAAAAATAATAATAAACGCAGATCCCTAGTCCTTAAAATCTCTCCAATAATTAGCTATTACTTGCAGACTACCACTAACTCTTTAGCACAGACACATCAACAGCTCTTCTGATCTGTTTTCTGACCAGCTTCTCCACTACTAGCTTTTGTCTCTTCCCTGGATATGCCCCGGATTCCAGTCTTCTAAACAGGCCCATGCTCTTTCATGCAGTCTTTGTGAATACTGTCCTCTTCCAATACCCTTCCTCTGTTGCAAACACCCAAGGTAGGGGGCAGATTACCAGGCACAGACTCCATGAATGGGTTCCTCACATACTGTATTCACTGATACGGAAAATGACCAAATAAGAAGGAAAACAATGAATTTCCATGTACTGCACACCAAGACGCTGAGATGATAGTATGACAGTAAGAAATCTTTCTGGATCACTAAAATTTAATTGCCTCTCTCTGCCCCTCACCCCCCAAAAAAACACTTGCCTTTGACTTTTCTTGTTTCATAATCTCTTTTGATCATTCCAATTTTGTCTTGGTTGTGTTCATGATCTCAGTGTGGCAGAGCAACTGAAAGTGATTAAAGTAATAAGCACCTCATTCATTCTCTGTCCATATCGTACCAATTATTTCAAATTGTGTCTGGCTTTATTATAAATGAAGCATCTCAAGTTCATGCATACCATGAACTGAAGCCTTGGGAAAGTTAATCTTTAAACACTTATTTTTATTTCCTGTTAGCTACCACTTCTACTTTGTACATGGATATTATGTGCTATTCCCCCTCCTTTATCCAGATACAAAGCTAAAAAGACTGGTAATGATTTGGTGATTCTAATACAGACCAGAACTTTGTTAGATAATCATGTACCCCCAATCTTTGCCCAGAATCCTGAGAATCTTTAGGAAGTGTCAAGATCAGTCCCTTACAAAGGAAGCTACAGATAATGCCAGGTCAAGGAAACAAAATGCCTTTATATCCTGTTAACTTCACTTACACATTGAACATGTGCTTGTAAGCAGTATCCAATTATAAGCCCTCCTTTTATTTTTAGATATATGTTCTTGAAGACATATAAAGAAAATCTCAAGATTTCCCCTTTCTCTCACTCTCCCTGCTAAAAATCTGCTGATTTGACCCCAATACATAATTTGAAAAGAGACAGGTGCTGAGGTTTGATATCTTTCCAGTTTTTAAGTTTTACCTACCTTCCTTTACTCTTAATTTGTTTGCTTCAATTGCTTTCATTTTTAATCACATCCTTTTCTCACCTGCAATAGTCTGCTATAATAATATATGTCCATCTCTTAGTAAGAAAGATTCAAACTTACTAGCTTTGAGAGGACAATGCC